AATCGAGCTCATTCACACTTCGCTACTAAAATAACACTGCATTGCTATTTGACTCATACCTTTTAATTTTACAATTAACAGTGACAGATTATAAGTTTTTTTTGCGGCAGAGTTACGCTGCAACTGTATTATAACTCCATTACGGATTATAGATACTATGGATTCTCATATGGCCCCATATTATAATACTGTGGGTGTCGTAAAAAGTGACCGAGAGATATAAAACTGCAGTTGGGCAGCACCATCCGCCTGATAACAGCTCAAAATAATGGGAAACTGCGGTTACTAACTCACCAGCATGATGCTGTAAGTTTTTGCTAGGCTGTATGAACGAACGAATTAATGAATATCAAAAGACCCCTACTGAACATAGGCCTGTCCCATATATTATTAGTTGCCACTTGTAAATCGCATCTTCGTACGCACAGAGTTAACAACAGTCAGGTACGTAACAACGATTACGAGACGGTCAGGTAGGCACTCTACCTCACACTACTATCACCTCACAGTTTGCGCGTTTATTTTGACTATATTACATTTTCTGCACAGTTTGTAATTTATTTTAATAAGTTTAGTAGTATTCTTAAGTGGTTACCATAACCAAAACATTACCATCATCGTAATAAAGCGACAGTAGTCTAAAGGTTAAGCATGTAGTGGAGGTGTAACGGTTTAGCGGCGGTGAAAGAAAAGAAAAAAGTTATCTACCCTATCTCGTGGGTGTCTTAAGAAGCGAAAATGGGAAACGGAAACCAGAAATTGGCACTAAAAATTATAAAAACTGCGGTTGATAAGCAACTTGCCACGTGTAGCAACTAAGGCAAAATTTCCTCTATTAGACAATCAATGGGGGAGGCTATTGTTCGGTTTTACAGGTTGTAACGTATAGATTGAGTCTAATAGTTAATGGCTGTGACACTAACAAGTCCTAAGTTCCTGCTATTAAGTAATTGTCATGAACCACTTTTACCACAAGCATTTTAAGTTGAAATTGCTACTACTTAAAGTGGTTAATTTCAAACATTGCAAATTTATATCAGCACGAAAATGTCCACAGTTGCACATGGACTTCTTCCACGCTAGGATTGGCAATTGTAGTACTAGATATCGAATAGTCCTACACCGTTGACGCTGCTCTCCATTGCCGGTCTGGACATCCAATCTTACACCAATCCAAGGCTAATAAAAGATAAAGCTATAAAGGCTTTAATAAGAACAAACAAAAAAGAACCAAAAAAAGTTTGTGCTAGATATAGTCATCAAATAAGTATGTGTAATGTACTGTCAAATTGCCTTATTTTGATTGTCATGCCAATGGAGACAAAAAAGCCATTGTTTATTTGATAGCTATTGCAGTTAACTTAGCTATAGATAATTAGGTACATTTGAAATGCATTAAGACGTGTTAAGTCGCGCTTGCAAAATCAATCTCAGTGTGGTCTCCAGAGAAAATAACGGTATTACAGCGGCATGGTTTGGATTGGAGGGGAGGGCGATGGGCCCGAAATGTCACTAGTATACTTCTGTACAGCTGCAGTAGACTTATCCTGCTTGTTTCTCCTCTTTTTTTCAAAACTCTGCGTACATGTTCCTGCATAACGGGATCAAATTCGGCTAACAACTCTACTAGTTTTAAAAATCACCATTGTTATATTGATACAGGTTATGAGAAGTACATTGAAAAGCCAAGCCGTTTTTAGCCACATTTTGATGATTGTGGCAATTCCTAACAATACTCTATTCCAGTGTTCTATTTCTGATTTAATTATTCTCTGTGACTCGGTATCCGTCTTACGACACGATTTTAGTCTACGTGAAAGTTCTATCCATGATTTTACAGCTTCTACATGGTTTCGTGATGTCTCATGAGATTTATGCATATCACCTACATGTTCCAATTTTTCTGGCCATCTTTAGATATTTATTTATTTACGAGGGTGGATTGAAAAGTACTCGGCCTAACCAAGAAAATAAACATATACTAAATCAGTTATATTTTTATTTTTCTACATAATCACCATCAAGTTCAATACACTTTTGCCACCTCCCCTTCCAAGCATTTAGACCGTTGAAAAAAAATGATTCTTCCTTAGAGTCAAAATATGCGTCTACAGCTGCTTTGACCTCGTCGTTTGTCGAAAATCTTTGACCTCCCAAGTGCTTTTTTAGGTTAGGGAACAGAAAGAAGTCTGATGGTGCCAGATCAGGTGAATACGGCGGATGTGGTAACAGTTCAAAGCCACAGTTGTGAATTTCAGCCATTGACTGTACTGACGTGTGAACACGGGCGTTATCTTGATGAAACAGGACTTTTCTTCTGAGCATTCCTCGACGTTTTTCTTTTATTTCCTCTCGTAAACGACGTAGTAAGGTGCAGTAGTAATCAGAGTTTATAGTCTGACCCCTTTCAAGATAATCAATCATAATCACACCTTCCGAGTCCCAGAATACTGAAGCCATCACCTTATTTGCCGACAAAATCGACTTAGCCTTTTTAGGGGGTGGTGAACCAGGTCTTCTCCACTGTTTTGATTGTTGTTTTGTTTCCGGTGTACAGTAATGAACCCATGTTTCGTCCATAGTAACAAAACGATTCAAAAAATCATCTGCATCGGCTTCAAATAACTCCAAACAGTCACGTGAAATAGTCAATCGCGTCCTTTTTTGTTCAACTGAAAGCAGTCGCGGAACCCACCTCGCAGACACCTTGTGGAAACCCAACTCGTTGACAATGATGTTTTGAGTTCGTTCATAAGAGATGCCTATAATCTCGGCTATCTCTCTAATTTTTAATCTGCGGTCTCCCATTATTAAATCAAGTACTTTTTTAATATTTTCGTCAGTAGTTGACGTCGAAGGCCTTTCAGAGCGGGGTTCATCTTTCACACTCTCTCTACCACGCTTAAATTCTGCTATCCATTTTTTGACGGATGAATATGACAGAGCACAATCGCCTAATGTACTGACCATGTCATCATGGATGGCTTTTGATGATAGCCCCTTCTTATGGAGGTACTTAATGACGGCACGCTGCTCGATTTGCTCCATTCGCGGAAATTATGTCCGATTACTTTGTTAATAAATTTATAAAATCACAACTAATTATCGCACACGTTTCGAACTTCACACAATGAACTAGTCTGAACTGAACTAAATAATGTGGGTAGATTTGATTTTTAGAATTGAATGGATCTGTGTTAGGCCGAGTACTTTTCAATCCACCCTCGTATTTATTTATTTAGGTATACAAAACAGAATAACACCAAAACATGAACAACTGAAAATAATAAATACAAAGTTACAATCTGGATGGTATTCCAAAACATGTGCACTCAACATGATATTAAGTAACAGTAACGATTTTACAGCACAAATAATTATAACCTTACTTATAAACATACTATATTTATGAACTTATGTTGTGAAAGATTTTGAAAAATGAAATCTTCATTAAAATAATGTTCATTAATCTATACATTTAAATTTAAATTTTAAGCCTTGAATGCCTTATTTACAAAATATATCTAATACAGATTTTTTGAAATTGTTTAATTTGTTATTAAAAATGTCTATATTTTTACTATTATTAATCAATAAGTCATTATATAGGAGACACATTCTTACAAGAGGATTGTAATAGGACGTATTATTTCTATAAACTTGCAAAGCAAAAGTATTTAGGAAAGTATACCGACGATGGGGCTTAGTATTAATCTTGACAAATGAAAGGAGGGTGGGGGAATCTATAAAGGAATGAATAATTTTGAAAAGGCAAGTCATATCCTGATATTTACACCGAGTTTGTAGTGACATAATGTTAAACTTTTTCAGTTTCTCTTCATAGGAGGGCAGACGTCTATTTAAACCGTACCTATAGCAGAGGATTGATAGAAATTTCTTTTGAATACGTTCAATACGATCTACGTGGACAGCGTAGTATGGAAACCAAATAATTATGTTGTACTCTAAAATACTGCGTACTAGGGAACAGTACAAAATAAGAAAGCTTCGTGGATTTTTTTAAAGTCTATGCAGTTCTAAATATAAAGCCAAGAAGTTTTGTACTTTTAGATATCACATGATCGTAATGATCGCGAAACGTAAGCTTTTCATCAAACAGTATTCCAAGATCCTTAACTATGGATTTTCTATCAAGTACCTGTCCATTTATTTTATACTCAAATGTAAGTCTGTGCTTCTTGTTACTAAATGATAACACAAAACATTTTTTCGTATTCAGATGCATTAGATTTTCTTTACACCAATTATGAATGGAGTCTAAATTCGACTGAAGATTGAACGAATCGCTGAGTGTATCGATAACGGAAAATATCTTCAAATCATCTGCATACAATAGGCATGGACATGTCATTTTATCAATGAGATCGTTAATAAACGTAATAAAAAAATAAAGGACCTAAATGGGACCCTTGTGGCACACTCGATGTCACAGAGACGGGTGAGGATTTGAAACCTTTTATAGTAACTAACTGACTTCTCCTGTTGAGGTATGATTCAGTCCATCTCAACAGACTCCCATGTATTCCGTAACATGCTCATTTAATACATAAAATATTATGATTTACTCTATCGAATGCTTTTGAAAAATCGGTATATATGCTATCAACCTGTTTTCTTTTGGCGAAAGCACTGCAAAGATAGTGTTTGTATTCAAGTAAATTAGAAGTCGTCGATCTGTTCTTAATGAAGCCATGTTGTCGAAGCGATAGGAAAGGTTGAATATGATGATAAAGAGAATCATACACCAATGATTCAAACAATTTACCAAGGCAAGACAAGATGCTTACGGGTCGATAATTTTCGCAATTTGATCTGTCGCCGGATTTATAAATCGGTACAATATGAGCTATTTTCCGTACTGATGGAAAAATACCTGCCTTAATGAATGCATTAAATATAATACACAAGGGATTACTTAATTCCTTCCCGCATTTCTTAATGAATAAAGGAGGAATACCATCTGGTCCAGAGCCTTTTCTTTAGTCTAATTTCGCAATCTTTTGCTGTATGTGGTCTGGTGTGATTGTGTTATCACTTAGGGTACAATTACTACGATTGGATAATTCATTGTGAGAATAAAAGATAGTCTCCTCTGGGTTTGCAAAGACAGAACTGAAATAATTAGAGAAAAACTCACATATTTCTTTTTCATCGGAGGAGATGTGATTACCATATTTCATCGTTTTGGGAATACTATTAGCATTATTTTTCTTGTCATTGACAAAACGCCAAAAGAATTTTATGTCGTCATCTAAAGAAGATTCGACGGACGATACAAAATTTTTATAGTCATTTTTAATTAGTTTTTTACATCTGTTGCGTAACATGGAAAATGTATCATAATCCCGAGGATTCTTATATTTTTTGAAACGACGATGATATTTTAGTTTTTCTTCTAAGCTTTGCCTTAAAGCAGGTGTGAACCATACTGGATAGTTGTTTGTGTCAATTTTGGTCATAGGTGTAGGTTTTGCAATAATATTCCTAAGCTCTGCGTAAAATTCGTCAGTCATGCTATCAATATCTTTATGAATTGACAAGATATTATGCCATTTAACTGATTTTAATTCAAGATTTATTTTTGAATAACTGCTTTTGAAAAAATTTGGTCGCTTTTGATTTTTTGTTTTTAAAATTATTTGAGTTTATTTCAACAAGATTAATATCTGCAACTAATGAGGGGTTATCTAAGCGGCTCAATGGCTCCACTTCATAAACCTGAATGCTGTTCGAACTGAAAAGAATTAGGTCTAAAAATCGTCCGTTGTTATTTGATATACTGTTATAATTATCAAGGTTACAAAAGGTATTCTAAGGGTATCACAAAGCAGATTAGCTTTTTGACCTCGCGGGTGAAGAGGAATCATATAATTATACTGTAATGATTTAGACTAGTCAACGTCGGGTATATTAAAATCCCCTATACTAAGAAATTCTTCTGTGTTGCGATGTCGCATAATTACGTTTTGACAGTTTGTAAAAAATTTATCGATGCAGTCTAAAGGCAGATCTGGCGGAAGATAACAGAGACAAATATTAATAATTTTAACATTAGTGGCTTTTGGCAATATACTGATCCACAAGTCTTCTAGTTCACTATTCCAGGAAACTTGATGAATAAAATTTATTTCTTTTTTTAACGGCAATTAGAATTCCCCTGCCCTCAGATTTACGTGCACACAGAGTGTCTATGAATTCACCGTCAAAAATAGTGCTATTTAAGTTTGTTTCAGTTATACAGATAATGTCATAATCATTATTAAGTACATTAAGATAGACCTTTTTTGTTTTTGATCTTAAGCGATTAACATTTTGATAATAAATTAACATTAGACAATACTAAAATTCCCAAATACATAAACCAAATATAGCAACAAAAATGTGATATTATGACAGCTTGTTTAAGCATTCCATATTTCTAATGTGTATGCAGGCCGCAGTGTCTTCCTTAGGAATATATATACGTCCGAACTTAACCCATACATACTTATATTTCTTCTCCTTTGCAAAATTTCTAGCAGAATCATGAAGAGCCTTACATTCCGGAGAAAGATGTTCAGTCACATAAATTTTTCGCTTTTCGCAATTTAATCCGATGTTGGTATTCAAGGGATTGTCTTTATTAGCTTTATTATAACGATAACATGCGGAGAGAACTTGGTCCCTTAAGCGTGGGTTAATGAGAGTTACAAGAATATTTCTAGGGCGTTCGGAGGAGATGTCGTATTTGGCAACTCTACGGCAAGAATGAATGTTCTCATCATCTATTTGAATATTTACTGTTTTACACAGGTTGCGGAATAACAGCATTGGATTTTCAGTTCGACTTTCTGGTACTAACTGAATTTCTAAATTTTTGCTACGGGAAATTTTTTCAATTGATGTTAAACGATTGGTCAGAACATTAATCTCCTTTTGAAATCGAAGAGTTTCAGATTCTAGGTGTTTTATTATGTGACTCTTATTTTCAATTTCTTGCTTTAGAGAAGACTGTTCATCACATATAAAGTTAGTGGTTACAGTAAAATCGTCTTTAAGCTGCTGCACAACTGAGTCCATCTCCGCTTGTACTAGGTTTTTGACGTCATCCTTCAATGCTTTTCTAAAACTTTCCACGAATTCCGATAGTTAATTATTAAGTTTTTTATCCAATAAGGTACTAATTTTACCCATGGTGACGAGATTGTCGTCGTTTGAGGAAAATAGTTGGGAATCGGTTGATGAACAGCTTGAATTTTCAAGGGGCGAATTCAATGGTTTCTCTACGAGTGGTACAAGCGTTTGTTGGACAGGCGTATTGACATTCGATTGTTTACGTTTAGTTATATTACTACAAGATGGACACATTCACTTTGATTTATATTCGGTAGTTAAAGCCGTAAATTGTTCTTTACTTAAATTTAGGCACTCAATATGATATTTTGAACGACAGTGATTTTGATTGATCTGCTAAGTAGCGGTCAGTGCGAAGTAGCTTCTTATTGCAGGCAGAGAAATTCATATTAATTGTTTTACTAATCTCAAACTAAGAAATTTTTGTAAATGAAGTTAAAAAAGACTTCAGCTGTTGGGATTCGATCTAACGCCTCTTATACTTATTTTCTTGTTGCGTTAATGTGTAAGCCACAGCGCCAATTGCTCGCTGATATACTCTTTGAATAAGCGATTCACTTTGTCGTGTGTCGTGTGTGTAGCATTGTCTACGGTGCTGCCAACAATATATGGAGCATTTACCCCACTTGGTGGTTGCTGGCAAAATTATCTAAACTTGAAAACCCCTGATTAATATGTTTTACTTGCTTATTTAAATAATATACAGTTAGTTATAAGACTAGTAAGGTTGTGAATGATAACACAATTTAATTTTTAAATTATTTATTGATTTATTTTTTCCGACAATAATTATGGTCGAAAGGAACAATTCCAGACATACTCATATCACTGTCACTTTCATAAACGTCGTCATCATCATCTGTCGTATCCGAATCTGTGCTGCTGTCATTTCCTAATTCAATTATGAATTTATCAGTAATATCATCCATACAGCCATCAAGTACATAAAACTTGTCTCTGGCCATGAGAAAGCAATAATTGGTCAGCCTCATAAATCGGCGCTTCTTTGTGGTCTTTTATAATTTCATAAAGTTCTGCTTTCAGCATGGTTGGTATATAAGACAATCCCTTATTTGTTATCCAATTTTGCACTTGAAGTTTTGAGGAACTCATAGTAGGTGCTTTATTTACTTGTACGTTATGATAGGAGCGTTATCCATCACGACTAAGGAGTTCGGAGGCAAATTGGGTATAAGTTTCTCTGAAAGCCATTTTGTAAAATTGGTTCTGTTCATGTCGTCATGGTAGTCCCCTGATTTACTCTGTGATTTAAAAATCAATTGAGCATTAGGAATAAACCCTATTTCTCCACCTGCATTAATAATTATCCACCGCGTTCCAACAGAATCACTTATTAGTACTCCGTCCTCGTCATCTTTTTGCCAACATTTTTTCACTGCATACTATGCGTGAATGTATGTTTCATCTAAGAAAACTATTGGCCGACCATCTGCTCGATTTTGCCTCATAGTAACGATATACTTGCGTCTCCATGCAACTATGTCGTGCCTTTCCATTAAAATTTTCCGTTTCGAACCACACTTTTTATACTGAAATCCAATTTGTTTTAAAATTTTCCACAAAGTCGTTCGACCTCCACCAAAGTTTATGTCATTCTTTAATTCTACAAGTAATTTATTTAAAGTAGGAACAACTTTTCTTACAGTATACATTTCATGGATTTTGTTTCTTATTGCACATAAATCGAAATCATCAAGATCCACCGTTTTATGTCTTTGACGGTGTTTTCCAGGAGACTTGAGTTTTTGAGATGTAGAGGCAGCAGCTTCACCTTCTTTAGATATTCTACTCACGGTTTTCTCCGACATGCCTGAAATAGACACCAAATTTGTATCATTTTATAAAATTAAATATTTATAAAATACAAATACAGACATTATCATAAAAAAATAAATTAAATTAATTAGTAATTTATTATTATTACCCACACTAAAGGCATTTTGCATGAAGCTGGCATCCCTATTTTACTAACCTGTCATGGCGGCGACGCGAGTTCGCATTTGATTGAGTGGAATTAACGGGGCTTGGTTTGCCTTTTCTCTCTCACAAAAGGCACGCACCTTCAACACAACCTCTCTTGCACTGCTTCTAAATGGTTTCGGCATAATTAATTCGGAATATTTTAAATAATAACACAAAAACGAGCGTTATAATCACAAACTGACAACAGATTGACAAGCAATAGTGCCAACATCACGGCAGGGGACATCTTACGGTGAACGGGCTATACTCCTACGACCCAAATCTAATGATGTGACTCAAATATTGTTAAAAGTATCGAGTACTTATAAAAGTATCGATACCTCAAAAATATCGGAACAAAAGTATCGTGTCCAAATACATCGATACTTTCATTTCGATACTAAGTATATAGTTAGAATCGAAATGACAATATCGATACTACTCAAGTATCGGTACTTTTTGCGAATCCCTACTTATTTCTTTCTTTCTTTCGAACTAAAATGACAAATAGGCTATTGGGGACTTAAATAATTCCACTATCAAACCTGAAGTAGGTTGGAAGGTGGCACATGAAATTCTCAACCTACCATCTTGGGTGTTGGATGGCTAATGGCTAGGTTGGAAGATAGGAATAAGTCAATTTTGCCGCCCCTCATTATTTGCCGCTCTGGGCAAATGCCCGGCTTCCCCCCCTAGATCAGGCTCTGTTGGTAGCTGTAATGAATGAATGATGAATAAAGTTTTAATTTAGTGCCAGTTTTAATGTAATCACATATGAGAATGGATTTTTGGATATCTATTTAAATCAATTTGAAGTGGATAGTTAAAAGGCTTTCAGCATAGTTACGCCTCAAGCGTTACTCCTAATCGGAGTGCTTGAAATTCTGTATGTTATATAATATTGTACTATGTTTGCCGAATATTAATTATATTGATTTACGATGTGTTATATCGCGTCTGTTGTCTGTACTGTGTACGTTATGCGGTCGTTTGGTCTAGACATGTTCATTATAATATATAATATATATATAAGTATATATATATACATTCATATATATATATATATATATATATATATATATATATATATATATATATATATAATGCTAATATATATAATGATATGTGGTACATATAATTTACACAATTCTGATGAGGGAATAGAAGACAAAAGCGTTTAATTAGGGCTTTGTCCGTACCTAATGATCTATGTAACTGAAATATGGTCTTTCGTTTCCTGAGCAAGAAGCCTTAATACACCCGCCGAACAATAGATTTAATTTGAAGTCTCTAATTTGAATACCGGAAGTAGAATTATACCACATTGGTTAAGGATAATTGAGTAGAAATAATTTGATTAGACAAAGTAACTCAAAGAAGAAAAGTTTGCAAGTGAATCAATAATTTGGTCTCTGAT